TCCGCCCTGACTGGTCGGTTGTTGATGGGAAAGCGTCCGCGTAGATGAGACGAGATTCGAGATTTTCTTTTTATTTATTACAGTTGCAGGTTCTTTCAATTGTGCCGGCGCGCGATTCGGTTCGTCACATTCTTGCGAATATGAATTTTAATAATAATAATAATAATAATAATAATAACTTTTATTGTATTTTTCATTTGATTTTTTTTACATGTGAAAAAGTTCTTTTCGATCATACGGAATAATAGTAATGGTAATATGTTTTGTTTTGTGATCGGTTGAGTTTTTTTTTTCCACGTGGATACCTAGTGGGTGAATTAATTAACGTGTATAAAATATATATATATATAAAATATCATTATTATTATTAATGTTGATGTAGAATTATATAATTGAATAAAAAATGCCTCGGCCGAGCCGGGAATCATACGGTGATCAAAAACCGCCATATTCGTATATTTCGTTGACAGCGATGGCGATATGGAGCTCACCTGAAAAAATGTTACCTCTATCGGACATATACCGGTTCATAACCGAAAGGTTTCCGTACTACAGACGAAACACCCAGAGGTGGCAAAACTCGTTAAGACATAATTTATCATTCAATGACTGTTTTATAAAAATTCCAAGGCGACCGGACAGACCCGGCAAGGGAGCCTATTGGGCTTTGCATCCGAACGCACTCGACATGTTCGAAAATGGAAGCTTTCTGAGAAGGAGAAAACGTTTTAAACTTCCAAAATTTGAAAAAGAAGCAATTGAAAGTGTCATAAACGGTCTTCCCCTGCCCCAAACTTCCCGGAGCAACGTTCCTGTATCGGCGGTTTCGAATTCGAGAATCAACTCGTCGAAATCTTTCAGCATCGATAGCATAATACACGGTTCTGAAAAGATGTCACCCCCGAAAAATATCAATGCTCCCGTCGTTCCTCAACCATTGGTCGCACGCGGTAACGGTTCCTTGTATCCTCCGGAAAGAGTCAGTTATTCTCCGACCGGATTGCCACCGAACGCCGGTTGTTTTCACCATCCGCCCGTGTGTTTGCCTCCCGAACCGCCTAACCCATTGTTTAATTTGCCCACCGGTCCCGGTTATTTGGTTCATCCCGCAGCCGCTGCCATATATGCCGCCGCATTGGCAACGGCAGGACTTTTTATGCCTCCCTTTAACAATAACCACCAAACGAATAAAAACATTTTAGACGAAAATTCAGTGAACGAATCTCGGAAAAACGACGATGGTGGAAATATAATAAAACCTCATCCCCTATTACCACCCGGATCTTTCAACGGTCTACCATCGCAATTTGCTCTTGGAGCTTTACACGACTCATTTTCTAGAATGCAAAATTTAGACGTCGATGATCAACCGCCACCACCAACACCGATAGTCGACGTCGTCGATAGTTCATCGAATTCTTCTGACGTTTTTCAAAGGGATGATTATCCGCCTAAAAACGATCCTAATTGTAAGTAAAAAAAAAATTTTATTAATTCCCCCCCCCGAATATTTTCAACCATATTCGAGTAAAAAAAAATAAAATAAAATTTATTAAACTACAATCAAACCGCTATAAAAATAACCCGCTAAGTAGTCAAGTAGCTATAAATAAATTTTTTTTATAGAGTCATCATTAAAAAAAAAAAAAATTATTCGACGACATTCTTTTCACGTAAAAACACTATTGTATAATAATAATAATAATAAAACCTTTTTTTTATAGCAATTAAAAACCTTCTATAAAATTATAGCACTTTTCCTTTTTAATTTATATTTTCATCAAGCATAATTTCCAACTTACTCATCATCGAGTTTTTATTTTTTTCTTTAAAAATGTCTTTCGTTAAACATAAAATCGTACTATACTAACTATAAAATTTCATTTATAGAGTCTATATAGCAACTCTTACCGCTTTAATTTTTTGTTATTAAAAACGAAAAATTGTTTAAAATATTTAAAATTAAAAAATGCTAAAATTTGAATTGGTCATTTTAAATTGAAATTATTTATTTATTTTTTTTTACTATAAATCGCGTCTTGAATCAAAATTTATGGCTTTTGCTATAAAGAGGCGTATTTACCGGCAGGTTTATTTAAAAATCTAACCGCAAAAAAAAAAAGAGAAAATAATAATAAACATTTTTAAACGAAACTTTAACGCAAATAAAAAAATTAAAACAAAATTAAAACTATAGCAAATACTATAAAAAAAAAACAAAAAATTACAGCAGTAACGAATTAAGTTATTAATTTAAAATATTTTTTCTTGTGTTTTTTCAATAGATAAAAAAGAAAAACTTTACGAAAAAAATAAAAAAATAATTTACAAAAAAAATAAGAAAATTTTTTGTTATTATTAATAATATTGAAAAATTTATTTAAAATTACACATAATAATATAAATATATATTAAAAAAAAAAAAATTCAAATAAGGTAAATGGACAATAAAAAGGTCAAATTCAATATTATTATTATAATATAATATAACAATATATAATATTGAATACGTGAAAAACAATGATTCACGAGTTAAAAGTTAAAAAAAAAAAAACAACATTATGTTTTTTGTTATATGTTTGTTGTTGTTGTTGTTGTTGTTGTAATGTACGCGCGGCCGGTAAACATTTAAAAAAAAAAAAATGAACGATGGAATGCAGGGAATAGAATAAGAAGAGTTTCGGCCTCGTTTTTGTCGGTTAACAAAAAAAAAAAAATTTTTTTTTTTAAATAACGCCTTGGGTATTATCCTCTCGTACCTTTTTTTCACCTTTTTTTTTTTTGAAAATAGGGATTCCTTCTTTCCTTTATACAATTTTTTTTTCATTCTTTCGTTTGTTTGTTTGTTTGTTTCTTTGATCATTTTCTTACGTCAAAAAACTTTTTTTTTTTAAATTACGTTATCGTTTGTTGTTGTTATGATTCCGATAGTTTTATAAAAAAACAATATTATATATATTAAACTTTTCCTTTTTCCTTTTAAACCGGAAATGTTTATTTCTTTACGAATTTAATCGTTTGAATATTTTTTTTCCTTTTTCCTTTTGCTACGATTTATTGCCGCATAAAAAAAACAGTCGCTTTTGCTTCAAGAATCGCAACCGAAAGTCAACCCCTGTGGTAACAACCACCGTTATAATGTTCCCCCTCCCCCTGTATCTTTATTCTCTCCCTTTTGTGTGATATATGTATATACTCATAATATGTTTTAAAAGCAATAATAATAATAATAACAATAATAATACTTATCGTATAATTTTTTCAAGTTTTCAAACGTAGGAAGAAAAAAAAACATTGTTCGAAACGTTGTTATAAAAATTATTTTTATTTTTATTATTATTTTTATTTACAGCAAAAAAACTTAATATTCCGTGATTAATAGCAAAAAAAAAAAACGATGCACGGGATTAATAAAACTGTCATTATTATTATTATTATTTGACAAAAATAAAATAAAATAAAAAAACAAAAACAAAAAACTTTGAATCTTTTAACTTTTTTAATAAATTTCATTTGCGAATTTCGTAGAGTAAAAAAAAAATAAAAACGCCGCGTAAAACTCAAATAAAAATATACAAATCGTATAAATATTTAAAATTAAAAAAAAAAAACGCGTCGTAAAACGCAAAAAAAAAAAAATTTAATAGAAATGATGATGATGATAAAAATTTTCCAACGCGTTTATTATAGAGCGATTTATTATAGAGCAATTTACGTAAGAGTCATTATCATTTCGTTATCATTTTAAACGTTGGCAATGTTGCCAAATCATTTAAATAAACAACTATTATGATTATTATGATTAATTTAAAAAAAAAAAATACGCAAAAAAAATGATAAATCAATTCGAAACCGTTCGAAATAAAAGAAAAAAAAAATCAAAAACTTGTGAGAAATCGCGACAGTACCGTAAATAGTATTCGATTTTCAGCGTTCGTCGAGACGTCATATCGATCATAATCCTTTTATCGTTAAAAAAAATCATTTTAATTAATTAATTTTTTAACTTACAATTAAGCACGACCATTTTTCAATTACCCATTTACCTTACGAATAATCAACTTTGCGATTCCATTTTTTTTATAGCGCGCTATATACGCGTGTAATAACGACGTATTATGCTTGTAAAATAAAAACGCGGTCGCGGCGTAATTTCTATAACTTACTCATTGTCCCATTATTATCATTATTCTCATGTAAATAATTAACGTTTTGAGTAAAAAAAAAAAAAAAAATAACGCGCGCGTCTAACGCACCCTAAGGTTATTTATATAATTACTTTCCAACTACTGATTAATTATTTGCCGACTAGAAAACTTTTTTTTTTTTTTTAAAAAAAAAACAACTCTATAAATTAAAGTCTATAAAAAAATCAAAACGTGAAATTTTTTTTTTTTTTTATTTCATTCCGATGACTTTTCATACATAAAAAATAATCATCATTATCATTATCATTATATATTTTTTTCGCGAGAAATGATATTTAATTATATCGTTTCGGAAATGGAGAAAAAAAAAAATCAAATCCCGATTTTAACTTTTAATTTTCTTTTTTTTTTTTTTTTACCATTTTCAATTTTTATTTTTTTAAAATAAAAAAAACGACTATAAATTCAAACGCTATAAATTTCACGATTGCTCTATAAATTTTTTCATTATTATTATTATTAAAATAAATAAATACGAAAGAATGATAAAAAAAAAAAAAAAAAAAAATCGATTCCGCCATTTTATTTTTTATCCATTAAATTTATTTTATTCTTTTTTTTTTTTTTTAAATTATTAAAATAATAATAATAATAATAACGATTATTCGTTACCTTTAGGGAGTTTTTTTTTTCGTTATAAATAAATAAATAAATTTTTGACAAACAAACGAAGTATACAAACACAAACAAAAAATTAATAAGATTTATAATTAAAAAAAAAAATAATAAATTTATCCATTGCGTGCAAATGTTAAACAAAAAAAAAAAAATGAACGATGAAACAAACTCTTACAAAACAACAAAGAAAAAAAATGGAAAAACCTTTTTGTAGAACAAAGAAAAATTATCGATAAGAATACATTAAAATAAAAGTTTAAAATGAAAAACAACAGAAACTACAACAGAAACAAAAACAACCACAAAGAAAATTTTTAACTTCAATCAATTTTCTTTTTTTTATTTATGTAAATTACAATTACAATTCTATATAAAAATCCCCTGTAATTTTTTTTTTTACCCGGATATTCCGGAAAAGTTTTACAAAACGGAAATGAAAATAAAAAGAAAACAAAACAAAACAATCAACAGACCAACCACAAAACCACGTGACATAAAATAAAAATAATTTGTAATTACGTAATTCGAATTTTCCTTTTTTTTTTTTTCTTTTTCTTTTTTCCATTTTTAACCGAAATGTGAGTAAAACAAACGCGAGTTGATTTTTCTATTTTGACAGTGGCGAATCCAGATTCTTTTTTTTTCTCTATTTTAATGTAAGATTTTATTTTAATTGATCGAAATAAAAGCAAAAAAAATTTTTCACATCCGTATTTTTTAATTGCTTTTTGTTTTATCGATTAATTTTTTTCCTTACTTACATTTTTTTTTGGTAATTTAACAAAAACGTGGCACAAGAATCGACTAAAACGTAAAATGTAATAATAATAATAATCGTTTAACAATAATACTATAAAATTTCTGTACTTTCTCTCCCGAAAAACAAAAAAAAAAGGAAAAAAAAAACTATAAAATGCCGCTTTGTTAAAAAAAAAGAAAAAAAGCAGCAACAACAACAACATTTTATCATTATTATTAACTTAATGGAAATAAAATTTTATGTTTTTTTTTGTTTTTTCGGAGAAAATAATAATAATAATAATGATATTAAAACACGTTAAAAATTTTTTTGTTTTCTTATAAAAAATTAAAATTATTAAAGATTATTTTATACAATCGTAACAACAACAAATTGTTGTTCATGTTCAGCAAAAAATTTATTCAATTTTTAATATAAAAACGTTAAATAATACTCACGATGATATTATTCGATTCAAAAGAACGTTCTAGAACGTTTAATGCGGTATCAAATTAACCATTTGGCCAATTTAATAACAAAAAAAAAAAAAAACTTAATGTGATCAATTGAATCGATAAACATTTTTATTGTTCTCGTATACAATAAATCTCTCTCTCTCTCTCTCTCTCTCACTTTCTCAATTTATCCCTTTAATCCCATCAACTTCTACCGCACGCATTATTATATCAACCGCTTTACGGCAATTTTAAAAATTTTCGACTCGTCAATAAGGTCAAATAGAGTCAACAAATAAGCGCCTCGTTATTAACATTTTCTACGTTTAAAACAACAACAACAACAACGTGAAACGAGACTTTTAAAAAAAATTGCATAAATTATAATACCGATCATGATGATGATGATGATGATGATAATAATAATAATAATAATCTCCCTGTTGAAAAATAAAAT